TTCACTCAGCTCCGCGCCGGGCTGCTCCGAGTGCAAGGGGCTGCGGGCTAAACTTACCCTCCTGCATATGCATGAAGGAGTGGCCTTTCTGCTCTGCCGAGGAGAGGGCTGGAGTTTCTCGGAATGCTGCTTTAGTGGAGCGAAAGGGAAGTGGGGCGTCCTGCAAGTTTTCGCGCTCGCAGGACCTCCCCTCACCTTCTAGACACTACGGGTGTTAACTCATCCGAGCCACGATCATTTCACCAGATCGGGCTTTATCCGATTGTGTTTCAAATCCAGGGACGTCACTACGGTTAGAAGACAGATCCCTTCTGTTCAGCCTGCCTTCCCTAAACTCTCCACGCCAAACTCTCCTTTCACTAAAATGAGCACTGCTTTCCCCGGTACGCCCAGTGTGTCTAGGTGCAGTCACAGAAGCTGCAGCGACCCGGCCCACAAAGCGAGGTCTGGATCTAGCCCAGTATGAGGTCTGACATGTGATCCCATAACCCCCAGTGGGCCATCTGTTCTCCTTCCTTCCCGCCAGGAGGCTGGCAGCTTTGCCCAGCACGGTCAACGCCTCCCAGCTGGAAAGAGTGAGAAAAGCCAGAAAGACAGAACCTAGTAGCTACAGTGTGTGCTACTTGAGCTTTAACTACCTGGGACCTGGAGCCTGAAAGATATTTTAAACTGAAAGCCCAGTGATTAGCCCCACCCTCCCTTCCAGGTGGGGAAGCCCTACTACACCTTATAAGTCTCCAGGGGAGGGGAACGGGAATCTGCTGCGTTAGCCAGGAAATGACCTTACTGGGGCTTACCTAGGAAAAAGAACAGACTACTTCCTACAGACCAGTGTAAGAAGGGGGGGGGGGGCACAAAGTTAAGAAAGAAGGTATGTTCACTCCAGCACTTCTGGGAGGTGGAGGCAGCAGGAGCAAGAGTTGGAGGCCAGCCTGGGATACTAAAGACCCTGGTTTTTGCTGTTGCTGTAGTTTTTTTTTTTTAAGGAATTTTGAACATGTGTGTGTGCATGCATGTGTGCCTGCCTTCCTTTTCTTTAGGCACCGAGATAAGGTTCTCTGACCTTCACTACTATAAAAAGCAATGTGTGGTTGTACTGAGACGAGGTCGGATTTCCAGAACCTAAGTCTTTAATTTCTTTCCCTAGGATTTTTGCTTGTTTGAGACAGGGTGTCATGTAGCCCACTATAGTCTCAAACATGATATATATCATATGATCTTCCTGCCTTTACCTTTCTGGGATTACAGATGTGCCACTCCACATCCCAGTCTGCCCTCTAGGATTTTTATTTGTTTATTTTTTTAATTAATTAATT